CCTGATCTGCTTTAATTTCAAAGTCCATTTTGATCACTTAATTATTTATTTTAAGAGGTTATATAGCAACTGGTAGGAAATCCAGAGGGTACAAAAGGTTATAAAATCAAAAGCCTTTTTTCTATGCCCCATCAACTATCCACTTTTCTTTCTACAAGCAACTTATGTCAGCAGTTTCTTGCATTCCAAAGATATTCTGTACAAGTACAAGAATATGAATATGTATCCTTTCTTTCCCAAATCTAGGTTCTTAAGAACTGTTCCCTCTCCCTGCTTTTTTGTTTGTTTGTTTGTTTGTTTTTTAAATGCCAGAAGTTGTGTGTGTGTGCCAAAGAGAGAGAGACATCACCCCCTGGTGGGCCTGATAATACCATAGTCCCCCCTGCCCCCCACTCCATTTCTCCATCCCTTCAGAATGCTGGGCATACAGACATACACATGCCCAGTGTGTTTCTCTAGCCAGAGGAGCCAGGACTCAAACTGAGGTTAGCCGCAGTGGAATCCAGGAGCTCCCTCTACCCAGCACTTAACCTCTGCTCCACAGGCTAGTCCTTAAACACTACTCTCTATTGTGATTATGCCAGATAGAAGAAATGAGATTTTGTCTGTACTAAAGAATTCACTTCTGGGACCAGCAGTTGGAATAATGGCTATGTTGCTGGACTCTCATGTAGTCGACCGTGGTTCGAGTTCCGGACCCGGTGACTTAAATTCACTCCATGTGCTTGTGTGTGCGTGCCCGAGATCCCAAGGGGAGAATGGAGGAGAAGGGATTGTGGCGGGGCCATCCCCCCTGTGGGGGGGGGGGTCTTCACTCATCCCCCCTGTGGGGGGGGGATTTCTCACTGTCTGTCTTTCTGTCTCTCCCTGTCTTTCTGGTGAGCGCATGTGCCCTAAAGCAAAAACCTCTCTCAAAAAAAAAAAGAATTCACTCCCAGGGGCTGGCAGGTAGTGTGATTGTTAAGGCAGCTGGATTCCCACTTGGCTGGCTGCAATTCAAGTCCCGGACCCCATGGCTTCAAACTCATGCCAGGCACATATGTGTGCATGCTCAAAATCCTGAGAGGAACATGAAGAAGGAAGTGAGGTGTGTCCATCCCCCGCTCTGGCTCTGGTGAGTGCACGCACTCTGTAGAAAAAAATATTTCTCAAAAAAACAAAAAGAAAAAACCCTAGAAAACAGCAAAAAAAAAAATCACTTTTTTTCCTATCCCGTCTTTAACCTGCCCTCATTAGGTTGCTGATCCCACTACTCCACTGAAATCACTTTTTTCGAGGTCAGAACCTCCACTTGTCAAATACAGTGACCAGGCCTCAGTCCTCATTTTATTTAGCAGTACTTGACACAGTGGACCACACCTTCCTCTTTCAAAGACTTCATCTACTTATTTCTAGGGTCCTATAGACTTCTGTTTTTCCTTCTTCCTCACTGGCTTCTTCTGTTTGCTCTGCCAGCCTTTCTTTTCCATCCTGAACTTTAAATTTTAGAGTGTTCCAGGTTTAGTCCTGAGCACCCTTATATGTTCTCTGTCCCTAGTGACTTTTTCCTGTATTTGTGTTTTTAGTCCTGAACTTTTCCCTGAATTCTATACAAGAATAGCCAACTTTATATTCATCATCTCTACTTGAATGTCTGATATTCAACTTTAAGTTGATATGTCCTGATTGGAACTTTGGATTTCCTTCCCTCTAACAATCCCTTTGTTTGTTTGTTTGTTTGTTTGTTTAGAGAGATTTTTGCTATAGGGTGTGTGTGCTCTCTAGAGAGATAGAGAGACAGAAAGCGAGAAATCACCCGCGGGGGGTGTGGCCATGCTGCAATCCCTTCTCCTCCATTCTCCTCTCGGGATCTTCAGCATGCACACACATGTGCCTGGTGTGAGTTTAAGCCACTGGTCTGGGACTCGAACCATGGTCGACTACATGGGAGTCTAGCGACATAGCCACTATGTCAACCACCAGTCTCTCTTACCAATCCCTTTATATTTCATCTAAATAGCATTGCGATTAGTCCAGCTGTTGAAGCAGAATGCTTAGAAGTTGTCCTTAATTATTCTCTTTTCCTCATATATCACATTCAATTCTTCACATGTACTGTCTGCTTTATAGTCAAGATATACCCAATAGCTGACTTCTCACCAGTCAGCCTTTCCAGCTATAGACTAAACCATCACTTCTCTTCTCTTGACTATTTTTATTAGCCTCTCACTGAGCTCTCTGTTTCTTCTCCACAGTCTATATCCACACAGTCAACTTTCAAAAATACAAACTAGTGGGTCAGCTGTTGGCATGGTGATTGGGGCAGCTGGACCCCACATGGATGACCACAGGATTCAAGTCCCAGGCCCGACAGCTTGAAAAGAATGTAGGGTACATGTGTGTACATGCCCAAAAATCCTGAAAGGAGGGAGAACTGGAGGAGAAGGGATTGTGACATGACCATCCTCTATGGGAGGTGCTTTCTGTCTCTCTGTCTCTCTGTTTCTTTCTGGTGAGTGCTCATGATCTCGGGCAAATTGAAAAAAAAATACAAACTAGATAATATATCTCTCTGTCTCTCCATTGGGTGTCCGTTTCACTTAGGACCAAATTCAAGATCTTCAGTCTGATACTCGAAGCCTCCATGACCTGGCCTCACTTACTTCTCTAATCTCTACCCAGGACTCAACTCCAGCCACACTAGTGCTGTTGCTGTTCCTCAGAGAAGCTGAACTCCTTCCCACCTTAGATTTTGTACCTAGGGTTTCTTAGTCTGGAATGCTTTCTCAAGTATTATTATTATTTTTTTTAGATTGATTTTTCTTATAGGGCACATGCACTCACCAGAAAGAGACAGAGAGAGAGGAAAAGTGAGAAATCTCCTCCTGGGGACTATGGGTACGCTGTTAACCCCCCTCCTCCATTCTTCTCTTGGGATTTTGTACATGCATGCATAAGCACCTGGCAAGTTTTGCAGGCCACTGGGTCCGGGACTCAAACCATGTAGTTGGTCATGTGGAATCTAGCACCTTAACCATCATGCCACCTGTTGGCCATTTTTTTTTGTCTTTTTAAGCTTATTTGTTTATTTCTTCAATGACTGAATGAGTGAGAAATAAGGAATCAGACAGAGAAAGAGAGAGAGAGAGGCATCCCCAAGAGGGTCTCGCAGCATGATCCACCTTCAGCCTTGGATCACGGGCACGCACGCCTAGCGTACTCAAAGAAGTCTGTAATCCTGAAACCCTCCCAGGTGGGGCAGCCTTGCAGACTATTGTACCTCTCCACTGTGCCATCACCTGCACCTCCACCCCCAAATCTTAATATCTCTTACTTTATTCAAGTCTGTGCCCAAATACATTAAATATATTATTGGGGAGGCCATAATCACTCTTCTTTATTTTTCCTCATAGCACTTGCTACTACCTGAAATTAGATAAAACATTTACTTGTTAATTTGGTTGTTATCTTCCACCCTACAATGTAAAGTCTGTGAGGGAAGGGACTTTGTCTTTCTAGTTCATTACTCTCTCTGATGCCTAGGGCAATGCCTGACACACAGTGAGTGCTGTACGAATATTTGTTGAATGAATACATGTGCACACTGTAATTTCATAGCCCCTGGCTACAAATCTGAACATCTGAAAGCCTTCCAAAAGGCTTCCATTTTTCTACTTCCCATCCACATTAAAAACGCCAAAACTTAATTCACTTATACATTTATGCATAATTTTAGTATTCAAATGAAATATTCCTCTGCATCTGGCTGCTATGAGACTTTGATAATATTCTTTTTTATAACATCATGTATTTTTCTCCTAACAGCAGGAGAAAAGCTGAATGGGGTACAGTTGAGTCCTAGTAACCAACAGGAGATGAAGAATAACGTGGAGAAAGTGCTACAGTTTGTAGCCTCCAAAAAGATTCGTATGCACCAGACTTCGGCTAAAGGTCAGTGCCACGTCCACTCCTGGTGGACGAGTACGCTCAGCTGTGTACTCTGCTTGTCAGCTGAGAAGAACGGTTGGTTGTGTAGCCAAGGTGTGTGAGTATACCAGAGTAGTATCAGCTGCTGGCCTCATACTTTTCCATTAAGAAAGTTATCCTCTTGAGAGGGAATGATGATCAAATCTGAGTGCTTTGGGTCTAGCCTCAGTGGCACAGGTGCTGGGTGTCACTGTGTGGTGTTGGAGTCACATGGGAAGGCCTGGGGTTCGGATCCTGGTTCAGCTTGAACACACTGGGAGCACCCACATGCACACTCATGATTCTAGCTGTCTGGAAGGTGGCATTGGTTTGGGGTGGGTTTCAATGAAGTGAGAACCTGTAGAGGATGCCTCTGTCTCTCAAGAAATTAATAAATAAAACTTTTTAAAAATCCAAGTGCTTTGGGAATCTGGGTAAAGATAGAATCTTTCTCTCTCTCTTGCTCTCTCTTTCTCTTTTTTTTAGTTTACTATAGGGCATGTGAGCCTACCAGAGAGAGACAGAGACATAGAGAGAGAAAGTGAGAAATCATTATGGCCATGCCATAGTCCCTTTTCTCCATTGTCTTCTCAAGATTTTGAGCATGCATGCACAAGTGCCCTGCATGATTTTTAGGCTGCTGGGTGAGGACTGGAACTGTGCAGTTGGCCATGCAGAATCCAGCCCCCTTAACCTCCCCGCCATCTGCTGGCCTATAGGTAAAGTTAGAAGCTTTCTATTGATTTTAATGAAATATGGTTTGATTAAGTATCTAAGAAAATGAATGGTTAAAGAATTATGAAATGGGGATTTTAATTTTAGAATGTCCCATTAAAGTTATTAAAAACAAAGATAGAGGACCTTAAGTTTTTCACATTCATTGTGTGTCATGACTAAATATTATTATTTCAAATCATTATATCCTATATGTTTTCCATCCAGTTTTCTTTTTTTTAAATTACCAAAGGGTATAAACACCACAGAGAGATAGAGAGACAGAGAGAAGGAGAGAGAGAGCACCTCTCTAGTGAGGTGTGGCCTTGCCACAATCCCTTCTCCTCCATTTCTCTCGCCTGCAGGAATTTAGATCATGCATGCACATGTGTCCTGTGTATTTCTCAAGCCACTGGGTCTGGGACTCAAACCTCATAGTTGACCATGTGGGATTTGGCTCTCTTAACTACTAGGCTGTGGCGCCAACCAGCCCTTTTCAATCCAGTTTTTAGAAGGCAAATAGATTTTTTTTAAATTTATTTTTTATTTTTAAAAGAATTATTATATTATTATTATTATTGTTAGTATTTTTCACATGAGTTTTGCCAGACAAAGATGGGGGGGGGGAGAGAGAGTGAGTGAGCGAGCAAGCTGCGAGATCCAGGACTCAAACCATGGCTGGCCATGTGTGAATTCCAGCACTTTAATCACCATGCCACCTGCTGGCCCCTTAGTTTATTTTTTTAATTCTTTTTTTTTTTTTTTTTTTTGGAGAGATTTTTGCTACAGGGCATGTGCGCCTGTTGGAGAGACAGCGAGAAATCACCCCTGCCCCTGAGGTGGGAGGATGGCCATGCCACAGTTCTCTCAACTCCATTTTCCTCCCAGGATTTTGGGCACTCATGCATACACGCCCGGCATGAGTTTTAAGCTGCCAGGTCTGGGATTTGAACCATAATTGGTCCTAGAAAGAAAATATTTTATAGCATTTGTATCATTTGTATATGTGTGTGTGTGTACCATGGAATATTTCAGGCAAGACGAAAGGAGATCTGTGATCTTTTCATTTTTCTCTCTGTTGAAGCAGCATGGCCCAAGTGGTTTGCCAGTCCATTTTGAGCCCAGGCTACAAAGAGGACTGTGTAAGTGTCCTTCGAGAGCACAGGCTCCCTAGTCTTCTTGCCATTTCTCTGGAACTGACCATAGGTCTGGTCCCAATTCAGCTTCATTTTCTGGGTTTAATTACTTGTGGGTCCACTGAGAATGGAATTGGGAAGGAGCCCTGCTTTCATGTTGAATCATTGCTGTTCTCTGTCTTGGGGTCATTCAGATGGTCAGAGGCTGATCATTGAGCGCCTGCTACAGAGGTATAAAATAATCCTTCCAATCCTCGGAAATATGAAAGACTATGAAGCTTAAAAAAATAGCATTTTACCTATTTCCTTACATGAATTTTCATCAGACCTCACATTACTTTCTGCCTGTATCTGTCTTTTTTTTCTAGGGCAGAACTTATAGTGTTGTATTATCTCTCATGGTCCCCATGTGGAGTGGGCTTAGGGATCTGGCCCATTAAAGTCAGCTATTTTGAGGGAGCACCGCCATTCAGGACATCGTTGCTTTTACTCAGAGAGGTGCAGTAGTCTCCTAATTAGTCCCTCCGAGTTTGTGTCCCCTCCCTTCTACTTTCCATACTGCAGCCAGAATGATCTAAGAGTACGTCTGCTCATGGCACTCCTCTGCCTGAAACAGCCCTGAGGATAAAACCTGAAGGCCTTCCTATGGCTAACTGTGCCTGTATGACCTCCTCTGATTCACACCCTCAGTGGCCTCACCTTTCCCCTGTCCCCTGCAACTTGTATTGTGGCTATACTCAGCTTTTTTCAGTTCCTCCACCACAGTGCTATGACAGAAATACTGGGTTGTTAGAAAAGTCATGATGTATTGTTTCAATAAGAATGTGTCATTACTTTTCTGACAACCCAACACATTCCAAGTCCAAGATGTAACTTAAAAGTTTCTAGCAGGGCTAGTCCTGTGGCTTAGTGGTTAAGGGAGCTGGATTTCACATCATTAGCTGTGGTTGGAATCCTGGCTCCTCCAACTTAAAAAGCATGCCAGGTGTGTGTATGTGTGCGGGCATCCCTACAAGCCTATCAGAATGGAGAATGGAATGTGACATGATCATGCCCCATTGGGGGGGTACTTTATCCTTCTCCCTCCCCCTCTCTGTCTCATTCTCTAGTGAGTACATATGCCCTCTGGCAATCAAAAAAAGTTTCTACACAGAAATGGTTTATTACCTATTGATGATAATGTGTATAGTATTCTCAACTGGACTGGTCTGAGGTGTATTTCATGCTGGGTAAGTTCTCTTTACAAGCCAAATGGTGTATAGTGATTGAATGTTTAAATAATAATATTAAAATAAATAAATTTAAAAATTTTTAATTAAAAAAGAAAATCGAGCAAAAAAATTTTCTATTCGCCACATTATTTGAAAAAAAGGTGAAATTAATTTTAAGAATTTATTTTATTTCACTTAATATATCCGAAATATTACTTGACCATGAAATCAATATAAAAAGTTATCGAGATGTTTTGCATTCTCTTTTTTTGTGCTCAGTCTAATGAGATATCTATCTTTCGTATATGTGCTAAATAAGTGCTACACGTACAGTACGTTTCAGTTGAGACTTTTGACAGAGAGCATGTGTGCTTTGCCAGAGAGAGCAAGGAAGTGAGAAAGCACCCCCATGAGGATGGTCACACCACAATCCCTTCTCCTCCATTTCATCCTCTTTTCAGGATTTCAGCATGCACACAAGGTGCCTGGCATGTTTCTTAAGCTGCTGAGTCTCGGACTCAAACTGTGCGGAATGATCTAAGAATGCATCTGCTCATACCACTTCTCTGCATCTAACGGCCCTGAGGATAAAATGTGAAGTTTTATGTGGGACCCGACTGTCTTAACCACCATACCATTGGCTGGCCTGAGATGGGTGACATTTTAAGTGCTCTGTAGCCACATGTAGCAAGTGGTTCCTATATCAAACAACGTAGCTCTAAGATATCATGCTTCTGTCACCTCTAGACATCACATCTGTTGCTCTCTCTTCCTGAAATACTCTTTCCTTATCTTCTCTTATCTCACGAACTACTCTTCATCAGTCAAGTCTCAGTTGAGAATCCATTTCCTCTGGGAATCCTTCCTTGAGCTCTCTAGTCAGATGCCTCTACTCTGAACTCCCAGAGAATCCTTATATTTCTCTTATCAAACACAATATTGGCCAGCTGGTGGTGTGGTGGTTAAGGTGGCTACATGACCCACTGCAGGGTTTGAGTCCTGGACCTGGCAGCTTGAAAAAAACACACAGGGTGCGTGTGTATGCATGCCCAAAATCCCAGGAAGAGAATGGAGGAGAAGGGATTGTGATGTGGCCATCCCTCCTGAAAAGAGTGCTTTCTCACTTTCTCTTTCTCTCTCTCCAGCGAGCACATGAACCCTATAGCAAACTCTACCACACACACACACTTACCATACTTTATTGATTTTTTAAAATTTTTATTTATTCATTTATTTTATTTTAATTTGACCAGAGAGAGAGAGAGAGAGAGAAAGTGAGAAAGCAAGCCACCAGGTCTGGGACTTGAACCGTGGTTGGTCATGTGTGAGTGTCCAGTGCCTTTACCACCATGCCACCTGCTGGTCCCCTTTACCATACTTTATTGTAATTGCTTTTACATTTTCTGTCTTTGTGTTAAATAGGGCTTTGGGATGAGAGACCTTGACTGCCTTGCCTACCTGTTCCCTAGCAAACATACAAGTGTGCAGGTCCTCAGTCTCTTCCTCCCTCTCAGGACCTCTTATCTGCTCTGTCCTTCAGATATTGTCGAAGGAAACCTGAAGTCTATTATGAGGCTGGTCCTTGCCTTGGCAGCACATTTCAAACCTGGCGCTAGCAGGATGGTGAGCCAAGGACACGACTCCAGAGCCCCTCTGCAGAGCCACCAACCACACTGTGCCACTGCTGTGGCCCAGGGAGCAGCTGCTGCTCTGGCCGACGTGTGTCATGACATGTCACGGTCGGGTCGGGATGTCTTTCGCTACCGCCAGAGGTAAGGGTAGAAATCTAGGGATGGGGGCGGATCCCTCACTTTGATATTTCTTCTCTTAGATGATACAGTGCAGTAGATGGAAATCAAAACCTAGATAGCCCCACGTTGCAAGAAGGAACAGGGAGTGGGGTTTGGGGAGGGCAGCGGATAGAGAACAGCCCTTTTGTTCCAGTTGTTTATCTTGCAGCTAATAGGAAGTGAGGGAATCACATGTGTACATTTTTGCCCAGAATGTAAATATATGCCTTTAGCACAATGTGCTTTCTTCATGGGGCGATACCTGGGACCAGTGTTCCAGTTCACTCCCCCAGGATTGCGTCCTGAAGGCAGCGCTGCCCTGGACAGTCGTGACAGGAGATGCTGTGGGGGTTCTTTATCTGCTGAGGGGGAGCACAGCCTTGCAATGTGTAGGAGTATGGCTGATTAGCTCCGCCTCTTAAAGACTGGCATCTTGGGGACCCTCCATTTCTCCCAGTTTCTGCTGTAGCCGTTTAGGATAATGATCGCTTGTCAGCACAGCTGGGTGTTGTCAAGATAGATGAATGATCCTGGGAGGGAGGGGCAAACAGGCTGTCTGTCCGGGTGCTGCCCCTGCAGTTCCCTTTGAAAAGCCCCGTTTGCCCCTGGGTCTGAAGCAGGAAACGCCCGGAGTTACCTGTTTGGTAGCCACCTTTTTCTTTCGAGTGTAAGTGACCTTATAGTAAAACGTCTGCGCCGAGCTTTAAGTTGATCCTGTTCTCGCTTTCCCTCTTACGGGTCCCATGTTCAAACAAGGTGTTCCGAGGATGGGCGAGATGACCTGCGTCTGCCTTCCCTGCTAGGTTTCAGGTGTGTCTGGCAGGGCTCTGTCGTGTTCCTCTTGCGGGCAGCGCTCAGAGTGGCAGTGTGTCAGAGCATGTTGGGTTGACCTGAACCGAAGGCCTGACACCTGTCCTTCGCCGGTGTCCTCTGACTGCAGGAACAGCAGCATGGATGAGGAGATTGAGAACCCATACTGGAGCGTGCGGGCCCTGGTGCAGCAGTACGAAGGGCAGCAGAGATCCCCCTCCGAGTCCAGCTGCTCCAGGTAAAGGTGGCCTCAGGTTCCTACCCTTCCCTCCTGGTTGAAAGCCGGATTCGGGAAGGGGAGTTTTCTGAGCTGGGAGGAGCAACAGAACCAGCAGTTAGGCACCCAAAGCTCTTTCTCTTTCGCCAGTTTGGCTTTACAGGGACCGCCCTCCGGGCCGCCGTGTGGTTTTGCGCTGGCAGGCGGGTGGGATGCTGATGTGTTCTCTTCCTGTGGAAACTGCGTGGAGCCCGCTGCCAGTGCCTCGCTGTGACCGCATGGGGGCATGACGGGGACCTGTCGGGCCCAGCCCCTAGGTTCTCGCGTCCTCGAAGGGAGGGGTGAGAGTAGAGAGGCAGTCTTCTAGGGGCTGGGGTTCCCAGCACCAGGACCACCAGAACCCTCCTCGGCATAACCCGACCCTCGGCCCCTCCCCTGCCTGTCCCGGTTCGCAGTGGCCCGGCGCCCCCACCTCTGCCTGGAGCTGTCGGCCAGCGGAGCATCTGCTTGGGTCGGAGCCCAGCGCTGCCTCGCCGCGTGTGACAGCTTGGGAAGGAGGGGAGGGAGGCGAGGGCAGGGCGGGGAGGGACCCGAGAGGCGGCGCCGAGCGGGTCGGTCGCCCGCCCGGCCTCTCGCCCGGGGGC